TTCTTTTTCTGTATCTTTCTCCTCATCCCTCCATTTCATTTCAGGAAACATTAGAAAGCTTTCTTGAAATTTCCTAGCATTCTATGAGAGAGAGAGAGAGAGAGAGAGAGAGAGAGAGAGAGAGAGAGAGAGAGAAAAGAATAAAAAGAGAGAGAGGGAGAGGAAGAGGAAGAGAGAGAATTGTGATTTCATCACTCCCTACTCTCAAAAGCTTCAATTTCCATTGCTTGTGATAAAGAATGTGTGGGAGTCAGACATTCAAGCTTTCACTTGAGGTTATCAATCATGTAAAACACTTAATATAAAGATAGCCAGAACTAAGATTTCTGGTTAGATTGCACAGGTGAGACTCAGCCATGTCATTTTGATGATATTTCAAGGTATTTCTTCAATCAAAATTTATCACCCAAGCTTTTTACTGGGATTCATGTCATTCCCAACAATGGCCATGTTCACATATCACATATATTAAACAAGGAGATTATATGCAAATGCGTAACTTGATTTTAAAAAGCATGGTTCTGATGATGTGGAACTCAGCCTACGTGTTCTTTAGTTGCAAAGAAGACTAAAATCATGTTAGGCAACTCTTCATTTTTCCTTTTCTAGATTTATGTCCGAAGTACAGATTACGATCGAACCATAATGAGTGCTCAAGCAAATCTGGCAGGTCTCTTTCCTCCTTCAGCCAGCGAGGCCTGGAACCGAGACATTCACTGGCAACCTATTCCAGTTCATACTGTGCCTCTTTCAGAGGAAAAGGCAAAGAAGCATGTTATATTTTAAGTTTCTGTGTGACTTTTAATAGTAGCCTGTATCCTGTGATGCAAAATAGGATATCACGGCAGAATATGTGGGTAACAATGGGTGCTGGGTTGTGCCATTTCAGATTGCAAGAAAGGTATAGATCAGTGTTTCTCAACCTCAACCACTTTAAGATGGGTGGAACTCAACTCCCATAATTCCCCAGCCAGCCAGGCTGGCTGGGGAATACTTGGAGTTGAAGTCCACCCATCTTAAAGTAACTGAGGTTGAGAAACACTGGTATAGATCCTTGAATATTTCTATCTCTAGAAAGTTAGAACTCCAAAAGGAAAGGCAATTATGGAATTGCCCATGGAACAGCCTTCCCTGGAGATTTGTACTGCCCCAACCCGGTTAGCCTTTTGGAAGGCTTTAAAAACTTAGCTTTTTCCTAAGCTAAGACTGGAGACCAGTCTGTGTTTAGTCTTCTTGATTAAAGAGTTTTTCCTGACATCTCTACTGTTATAATTTTTTTAAGATTAGTTTTTATGCATGGTTTAAGCTATTCATTTATATGGATTGCTACCCTCATTCTGCAATAGTTCAGTGACTTCAGAGGACTGAATTAGCTTTTGGCAAGGGAAGCTGGGGTCTGCATCCTAGCAATGGGTATGGTGGTCCCATTATGGACATGCAACTCCAATATGTTTTTCTAGAGAATTATTCATGCATGTTCACATACCATTTATGAAAATACATGCGTGCATTCACACAAATATATACACACACATGCAGTGGGCAGTAATGTTCTGATTCTGATCACAAATTTAGGGTAAGAGGATTACTTTTAAACAGAACTACCAGATCTAAAATAAAAATATTACAAGAAGCCCAATTGATTTCCCCATAAATAGAGGTACTGACCATTCTTAAACAAGGTTTCCTACAGCATAAGCATTTTTCAGATAATGGGATCAAAATAATGCATGCAAGTCCATTTTATCCATGTATATACCTAGCTGCATTGGGCACAAATACTAAAACCAATCCCCAAAATAACATGGATCCAAATATTTTTGCCAAGATTTCAGTGGCTTCATGTAATAACTCTCAAGAAGAAGGTAAATTCTGAAAATCCTTATTCCAGCTATAAATGAAAGTAAAATAGCTGCCGAGAAACTGATTTCTTTTTATTTTGGATTATTAAATTTTGTGATGCCAACAGTCATAATATGTCTTCTGCCACAACTTTGAAATAGTATAAATTAGATGCAATGTAGACATCTTTATACCCCCAAGCAATGTGTAACATGGAAAGGAGATCTTATGCCTTTACTAATAGCAGAAATCCCAGTTAGGTTAGCTAGGTGGACTATGGATGGGAAGCTGATTATATGAAGAAGCCATTCTAGTTATTTAATATGATTTTTTCCATTTTTGTTGTAGTTGTTAATGTATCCTAATTTTCACTGCCCACATTTTAATGAATTATTACAACGGGTCAAAGGAGAAGCAACATTCCGGAAGACCCTCAAACAGTACATGGTAAGAAAGAGAAAGAAAAAATAACTATAATTGCACCGCCATGTCTCTTCTGTCGCCCTGAAAGGCATTTATATTATCAAAAAATATAAGCTTATGTTCATGTTACTGCTATTGTTGTTCCAAGATCTTTCCATTAGGTCTACTAGTAAAAGCTCCCCCAAAATAAGAAGTAAATGGATCACACAAAAGGAAAGCAAAAATGTGGTTTCTGCTGTGCAAAGTGAAGTTCTCCATTGGTTGCCTTTGCTGATAGAGAGATGTGGAGAAACTGAAATAGAAGAGTACTCAAAACCTTAATCCCAAGCACATCGTTGGAAAGTATAGATGGTGCACATAGTCAGAATGACTGCCATGCAATTCCAGTCATAGCTGAGAATCTGAGACTGTGAGAAAAGCTGCAAAGTGGTGGGAAAAGTGGTTATATTGCTTGTCTGCATTCAGACACAAATATGATCTTGTACGGATATATATGTCTTAGCGTGGAAGTCAAAATAAAAGGACTAAATCCAGACTTATGGCCTACAAGGCAAATTTAATTGATTAAGATCAACTGTGTGGGGAAAGAACTATTTTGCAAGTGGGGAGAAATGGCTAAAATATTTTCCTGGTTTATCATTTCTTGCCTGAAGATAAGACTTCCTGTTTATTTTTATCCGGAAATTGGGGAAAGTCATGATAGCTGTTTCATTTATTTGTGATAGTTTGGTAAAGTTTCCATGATGGGAGAGGTAGAAGTCAAAGCAGGATACAGCAGTTCAAGCAAGGAGATACCTAACATGTTTCCACTGGATTCTTTTTGTATTCAAAGTAGCCCCCAATACAGTTTTCTTTATTCAGAAAAGTCTACTTATTCACTGTTTGCCACCCCCTTTTCACTTTTAAACCATTGAATTGTTTGCAAAAAAATATGGAAGTTAAGTACCTCCATTCACAGTGCCACTGATTTTATCTAAGCCTTTGTTATCTGGAAGCATGACAGCTGAGGGACCATTTTTTTCTCTTATGTACTTCAATTATTTAATTCTTCAGCCAGCTCAAGAAAATCTTTTCCAGACTGAAGCATTTTGGCAATAGCTGCAAGGTATTTAATCTGAAGTGCAAACTATCATATCCTCCCTCTGGACAATTCCCTTCTGTTGTGTTCTCCCACCTATCTGTTGCAGGAAAGCAAATGAAAATTATTTTCCTATCCTCCCTCTGGACAATTCCCTTCTGTTGTGTTCTCCCACCTATCTGTTGCAGGAAAGCAAATGAAAATTATTTTCCGTTCTGTGCGCAGATCTTACTGGATGTACACACTATTATATATTTATGCGTGTGTATGTGTGTATAAACATAAACAAATATACACAAATTAAGTTAAATTTATATAGACAAAGTTAAAGCATCAAAAT